CCCACCCCTAATGGTGGAGTTCCGAGATATCGGCATTTTACGTTTCTTCATCTTTCCAAGGCTATCTTGATATCAACAAAACAAGGCATAAGATTAGTCTTCCTACACCATAATCCTCTATCATCTACCTGCATTCCGAAGTCTTGCGGACATTGCCAGCACGTAACGGTTTCTCAAAATCTTACGTATAGTGCGGAGTGGTGGCAGTGATCTGGGGGTCTATAGGCCTACATTGACCATTTTTAAAAATTTCTCAAAAATCCTAAAAAAATCATACAGCCATTCTGATTTCATGTTTGAATAGAACTATCTTTCTACTATTATTTGAGAAGTTGACCTTACTTTTTTCTTGGTGAATATTTTCCGAAGGTGACTATTTTAACACCCTAATAGGAGATTTTGAAAACATACGTCACTTTTACAAGAACCACGTGAAAATATTGCAAATCCTCATGGTAGTATGTAATAGAACTATTACTCAGCTACAAAATGAGCCATAATACTGTAAAATCGGACCGATTATACGTGTGCTATGCGCAAAAATGTGAAGGACCTAAAAAACGATTTTATTCCTTTTTATTATGTTTACATTTTACTTGACAAATCATGTACAGAATACTTGTATTTGATATAATTATCTATCATATACCTATTATTGATGCACTAATGGGGTTTTACAACGTATAATATTTGTCGAAAGAATAACTTTTCTCCAGTCGGACGGGTACCAAACACATACTTTTCCCCACGCGGCGGGGCCGTCCTGGACCATGAAAATCGTCTTTTTAAATCTGCGGAATAACTCTACGGGGTCACGTAGCCAAATTTCACTCTCAGACTCCGTTTGTTTCTTTGTTTGTTTATTGATTGTTTATTTGTTGTTTTTTTATTATTAGTTTGTGTTTTCTAATATTTCTAAAAGTTATGAACACATTTTAACGAGATTTTAACCAAAGGTGAGTTTTAACCTAACTTAGACGCTTATTGCAGTTTGGTGGTGATGCGGACCACGGTTTGGATCCAGGATTTTTTTTTCTAACTCGAAAAGTTATGAATAGATTTGAATAAAATTTTAACCTGAGGTTTGTCTTAGCCTAATTAATATTCCATAAAATTTTGGTGGTGATCCTGAATATTTGGCAAAACTACCCCCATGGGTGGGGGGGGGGAGGTTTGCATTTTCGAAATTTTTTGCTCATAGATCAAAGTAACTATGTATGATGAAAACATAAAGATAAGAAAATACACCATATGAAAAACATATCATGTTTAGTTATTTCTATGGAAAATTTCTTCATTGTCGTTTTTTGGGACGCTTGCCGGATTTTTCAAATTATTCCGAAAAAAAGAAGGTTGATCTCATCTTATGTGAAATTTGATAAGCTTTCAGAAAATAACCTCATATTTTTATTATCTCTAATCATTGCGTCACAATTGCCGATTTTCTAAGGTAACATCAAAAAAATAATATTTCGGTCGACATCGAAAATCGCTGCTACCACCTAAAAAATAACGGTCGAGCCTTGAAATTTTCAGGGGAGAACCGGGGGCCTAGAAACTACTTGAAAATGCATTAGTCAATTTCGGCAAGAGGGGCGAAAATCGCCGAAAAATCAGCAGAATGTCCCCTCAATATTTAGAATTTATGTAAATAGATGAGTTTTACCTTTTATCTGCCTAGGTATCATGTGCAACACCAGGTATTTTGGATGGATCTAATTCAAATCTGTTCATAACTTTTCGAGTTAAAAAAAAAATACTGGATCCAAACCATGGCCCGCATCACCACCAGAGTGCAATAAGCGTTTAAGTTAGGTTAAAATCTCATTAAAATATGTTCATAACTTTTAGAAATATCAGAAAACACAAACAAAAAACATCAAACAATAACTAACAAACAAAGAAACAAACGGAAGTAACACTATAAATAAACAAAAGGTCATGGGGTACACAAAAATAACCTGTATGTGCTTATATACCTTATATACATACTTTCACATCGCCATGTAATAGTATTTAGTCTTTTCACGGGAGTCGAAGTGTGAAATTGGCCCCGGACAGTTAACACCAATATTCCGCAGATCTAAAGAGACGACGGGTACTTCAGTATGAAAAAAAGTAAGGTCGACTTCTCAAAAATGGCTTCTGGATATTATAATAGAAGGATTGTTCTATTCAGGCATGAACTCAGAATGTTTTTTATTTATTTATTTATTTGTTAAGATTTTTTAAAAATGGTCAATGTAGGCCTATATACCCCAGATCACTGCCACCACTCTACACTATACGTAAGATTTTGAGAAACCGTTACATGCTGGCAATGTCCGGAAGACTTTGGAATGCAGGTAGATAATAGAGGATTCTGATATAGAGACTTTTCTTATACCTTAATTTGTTGATACCAATATAGTCATGGAAAGATGAAGAAAATGAACACCACCCTTGTAGTCTTCAAAAATTCTAGAAAATTCAATTTTAGTCCAAAATAAAAGTTTTATGGCTCATCTAGTGCTTGTTTGAGATGGTTTTTGATATTTTTTTTTTCCTGTGCTTCTTGTAAAAACGACAAATGTGCAAAAAAAAATCATGCAAAAAAAAAAAAAATCGTGATAGTCGGTTCCTTTAAAAAATCACACACACACTCACACACAAACATGTGATTCGTGTGTTTGTGTATTATGTGTTCAATTTTTTTTTGCAAACAATCGATATGAGGGAGATGGGTCTGTTCGATCGCCTGTCTTGAGATAGGGGTGATGTGTGCATAACGCCAGTCTACAACTAGGATGCTTGGATGAGGGCAGGGATTTGGTCTGGTCCAATGGTTTTATTAGTGTCTAGTGTTGTCAGTAGCTTCAGCATGCCATTAGTTGAGATGTCAAGCGGTGGGATTGGTGGATAAGGGCTATGTGGCATGTAGGATGCATTATCGTTTTCATGTGTTAAACCAGATTGGAGGGGCGTGGTAAGCGTGTTTTGTGTTTTGTCATTCACAAAGGTGTTGTCAGAGGCTTTTAAAAGGCAGTGATCGCTGAGGTGTTGTGTCTGTGCGACTTGATGAATTTGAAATGTTTAGGGTTGTTTCTGACATTGTTTGCGATGTCGATGGAAATGTGTTCGTGTTCTTTCTTTATATTTTTGGAAAGGATTTGAAAGCAGTCTAATTACCTGTAGTTTTTTTTTTATGTTTGCGCGCGTCTGTAGAGTCGATGTTTTTTACGGTATTGTCTGCGTAGGTCCCTAGAGAGCCAAGGAAGTGTATGTTTTCTGCGGTATGTGCTTATACATGAATGTGAGTATGGCGGTAAGGGCCAGGATTAACATTAGTGCCGGTATGACCACAAAGGAGAAGTAGAGGGATGGTGTGCCTTGTGGTGTGTATTGGGGTGCCATAGGGCTAAGAGGGATTGGGGCGGGTCAGTGCTTGTTTGTGATGCATGAGTGCTGTGTAGTTGATTCGTGGATGTCTACATATGTTGAAGGATTTGTGCATGAACTGTACGACGAATGTTAATGTAAGTGCAAGAAAGGAAATGTGTGAAAGTACTTGGCATCTATTATTATTTTCTCTTACATTTCTTGAGCATGAGCGGGTTACATGTTGTGTTGTCATCCTAGAGCTAACTGTCATGTGATGATGTATAAAAAGTCAATATTGCTTAATAAGAGGGGATAAAATACTAAAAACATATAATGTGCTATATTTTTGTTTAAATCTAAAATATTAAAAAAGCATGAGTTCTGATGTGCGAAGCGTGTGAAAACACGTCCTCCCGCCACGGTGTCCAGCATTATGAATAGAAAAGCTTGTAGACCTCTTTTGATTAGATGTATAACATTGCCTCATAGCCATCTTTGTTTTATTACATTTTTGTGGGATTCGTAATCCGCAGGTTTTGTCCTATTCAAAAACTATGACTAATTTAGGATATGGTCCACTCGCCCCATTACCATCTATTCCCATTTTTTACCAACTCGCCCCACTTTTTACAGCGAGTATTTTATACAGAAAGGGTATGAGGAATTACCATACCCGAGCCTATTGAACCGTACCGGACCGTATCGGACTATACCAGACCCAATCGAAGGGAAATAAATGACCAGCAGACACCACCGGAGTATTTTAGACATAACATAACCTATCCTAGTCAAACCCAACCAACCTAATCTAACCAGCCAAACCAAACATAACATAACCAACCTACCCTACCAAAAACAACGTAACTAACCAATCAACCTAACCTAACTAAATTAACCAAACCTAACCTAACCAATTAAATTTAACCTAACCAACCGACCCTAATCTAACCAGTCTAACTTAACCAAATACTTT